CCTTGTCAATGCCCCCTTCCCTGGACAGAGATCCCAGCTGCTTGGCTTCCCTGCCCTCTAATTCCAGGCTACTGGCCCCATTATCCCAGCATCGGAGCAGCCAGATGACAATGTGCTCGCCTGGACGGCGGCTGAAATCGTTTCTCATGTCTTGCAGCTCACTCAGGGACAGGGACTGGGTGATTACCTCTGGTTCTGCCTCCTCCTCCTGTTCTTGTGATGGTCCTGGTTCATCGTCATCCCCTACTAAGGGAACTGATTTTTTTGTGTATTTCTTCTTATGTACAGGGGTGACTGATGCCGGCACGGGTTGGGGTTTTGGTTCAGCTGCAGTGCCTGTCACCAGGGTTTGAGTAGCCACTGTGCATGTCACGGGGCGGGGGGTATGGAGTAGCCGTGGTGCCAGAATATGATCTCTGCATATTCTTAAATAGTTGTTTAACCCTGAACAAGACCTGAACCACATTCAGAAGACCTAGCAATAGAAGCATGCTGATCTGAACATCCCAAGGGTATTCAACATTCTCAAGAGCTATTGTAACTAGCCTGGGAAGGTGAAGGAACGTGTCTCCCACACACATTGGCTCTCCAAGGAGAAAAAGGAAAAAGTTTAATTATGAATGGCTCCTGAAGTACAGCAATGAAGCTGTCACTGTTGCTCCACTGCCTCCGAAAACAGATTCAGTCACCAAGAACAAATACAAAACTGGTCTGACTGTCAATGATTTTATCATACCATAAGCCATAGTACACCGAACAGCAGAGCAATAACCTTAATCCAATACCCAGAGGTGACTAACCACACATAAACACTGATATACATAAAGTATACACCAGCATATACACCAAATATATACAACTCCGACAAAACTCTGAGAACAAATAAAACAACATTGTGACCAACGGACCAGTGACAATTAAACTAGTGTAATAAATGCTTATAACAAATAACAGCTGGTGGAGCAGGAGAAGCTGAAAGGTCCTTGACTTAGCACAGACACTACAACGACCCAGCAACAACTAAAAGCACCAGTGTGTTATCAACATTGTACTCATACTAAATCCAAAACGTATCACTATACCAGCTACTAGAAAGAAAAATTAACTCTATCATCTCAGCTGAAACCAGGACACTCATTGAAAATTTTCTGAGAACATAATCTTTGCCAAATTATTTCATTGCTTGTCTTGCACAGTTGAAAGGTTTTCAATTGCCTTACCTATACTAAACTGACAGCCTAGCAATTCTACTTTCATTGCAATTTTCTGGTGCCATTTTAAGGGGTTAATCCTAAAAAAGCGTGCAACAATAGGTGGAATGAAATTATTGCGAACTTCCTGGTACAATTCAGTGTTCCCTTGAAATATCTAGAAAAGAACAAAAAAAAAAGAGACAAACATTATGTTATACAAATGCAATAGCAACTAAGTAACTACAACCAATTTTGATGTTTTTAGGAAAAATAAGCAGTGTGTAGTCCTGAAAATTCACCCCAGAATGGTGCTGCTGCCTGTGCATCTCCACTCACTCAGCCCTATTAAATATATAACTAAATAAAATAAAGGCAGGCATATGTGTACGTGTACGCATGCAACTACTTACTTCAGAATAAAGGTATGATGTCATATTCTACTGACACTCCCCAGGCAATGCCTGCTGTTAAAGGTGTCTCACATGTTTACGGCACTGAATAATTCCAACTCAGCCCTTTTTGGTATTTTGCACTTTCTCTTCAAATATATACAGCAAGCAGTTGTGACAACACAAAAGCAAGAATTAAGCGGTGCCTTCACACGGCCTAGTAGTTTAAGTATAGTCTGTCCTGTGACTGGGTATGGCATTAAGAGACAAAGTCAAGTATGTGATCACACTGTCCTCTAGTGGTTGCTGTCTGCGAGGGCTGAACGGCAAGCAAAATAAAAGGATTCAAGTTCTGAATGGAAGAGCTCTGAATAGAAGCCAGGCAGTTCTGGAAGAGAAGGGCGCAGACTTTGCATAAAGGATGAGCTCAAGCTCGTCCTTCACTGCTGGTCCTCGCACACAAGGAGCTCATCAAAATTGGACAATAGAGAATGGGTTTGCCTAGTTGAAATTTAAAACCAGTAAGCAGACAGTCACTGTATGATGCAGTGTAACCACACCGACAAATGTACAGCCAACTACAGGTTTTGCACTAAGCTGCTTAAAACAATACAGAAACTAGGCCCAGTACTCCAACCCAGCAAGCTATCTCATCGTCTTTGGGAGGACTGGTTTGCTGTCATGTCTTTGGGTAGGAAATGAACGGTCCCTCCCGATAGTGTACAGCAGTTGGGCTTTGGCTCTGCAAGTGCAGCTCTTGGGTGCTATTGCAACGCAGGTCACCAGAGAGGTGACAGTAAATGAGTAGTGTGTTTGGTTTTAAAGCACTCATACAGATATGACAAATCATACTGGACATACTGCAGAACAGAATTATGGCACTTGCCTGAAAAATAAATATTATAGTGATTTTTCTGCTCACTCACACCACTTGGGAAACAATAAAGCACCTTGCCATTCTTAAGGACAAGCACTGTAGTGTGTAACAGCTGATGTGCCTGCATCAAATGGAGCAGTCAAGAGCTTTTAGCACACTTCTGATCAATGCAGATTGTTTAAGTTTTTGTAACCAAATGACTAGAATTTCCTTACAGGTTTGGAAGAAAACTATTATTCCAGGAAACCATCCATTCAAAAGCCCCCAAACCTCCCAAACAACCCCAGGGACCTTTAAGGGACTCACATCTGGGCTCCCTGACATACATAATGTGTCTCTGCTCTCAAAAGACACACAAGCCCCATTACTATTACTTACGCATAAGAATTTTGGTTTGTCCTTACACAGGCATTAATTGTCTTCATGTTTGAAAGTACTAACTGATCAAATAGACAAAATTCAATTTAGTTAGGCAGGGAAAAATAAATCACTTGGTAATTTAAGTGCAGTACTTCACGTTTGAGTGTATTACTTTTTTCCTGCATCTTAAATTAGTAACCAGCATTTTCATTTTTATGTATCCAAATAACAGTATCAAACTAACTGCTAACCCATTCATGATACTAAAAATCTAGCTAGGCAAACACAAGGTATTTGCCTTCAAAGTGTATAGTCTCTGCTCTTCCCCAGCTCACTGCAGTGCAGCTTCACAAGCACCTGGCTCTCAGTGACACTCGTCCTGCTCTGAACTGAAGTTTATTGTTCTTAAATATACTTAATAGCAATGAATGAAAACATTAAATATGGGAGCAAGAATTGTTAACACTATTATCTTCAAGAAAGATTAACAATAAAGTAGTTCTTTACTCCAGGCTTTTATTAGTCAAACTTTTGATGTCAAGTGTTATGATAGTAACTTGACTTTACCTGCAGGCCAATATTGTTTGTTCATTTAATTTTTTGCACAAAAAGGATTTGCTTCTGAGCTCAGTACAGTGCAAGTTTTTGGACGAGAAATCACTTTCCTGTTTCATTTATTATCAAACTCTCTCCGTTTGCCTCTGTGCTGTCAACGAAAACTTTTCCCACGTTGCAACTTTGATATGTCATTTTTCCGCAATTCAAACATTTTATTCTTTTTTTCATATACAAAAAATTAAGAAAAGCTTTTCTGGAGTATTGATAGACCTCTAGAATCTATTTGCAAAGAGGACTACAGGAAAGCCTTGGAAAAGCTTCTAGCCCCCTGAACAACATTAGGAATTTCAAACATCTTTCAAAAAACCAGGCAACAGCACCTCCTGGTCGGGCTGCTGTGCAATCATGTCAGGCTCAAAGGGAGAAGCCCGCACACATATGCATCCAAAAGCAAAGCTGTATCAAGTGAGATGATGGCAGACAGAGGAAAAATCTGCTATTGTGAAGCCCAAGAGATCAAACATACTGGACCCTTTTTTGTGTCATTCAACTCCAGCTGGATATGTATGGTTCTTCATGCAATGATACAAAGAGTGCAAAAAAAGATCTGTTGCCTGTAATTTCAAGCTCCACAACTTGTTTAATTTCATGAACTTGCAAGAAAAAAAAAATATGCTCAAATTGAAAGGCAACAGCTGCAAAGGTTTTCTAAGAAAATAAACTAAACATGAAGTCTAAATCTAGGTGGCTCACTAGCTGAGATTTTGTGTTATGGCCAGGAGAGGGCACTCAAAAACTAGCAAAACACGCTGGATTCCCCCCCCCCCCCCCAGCAAAACCCGCCGAATCCCGCCCCCCCCCCGCCCTTGAACACTTCACACTAACAGTCTGTTAGTTGACATGTAGGTTCAAGGAGATGGACCAGCCCTGACAGTAAAGTCTCCTCCTTTCGGGAAAGATTCCTACTGTGATTATGTTCAGTGCTCAAAAACCTCTTCATTTAACAAACAGGATACTTCACCTTCACTTCATCAACAGAACGCTACATCTCACCTTGAAACATTCTTAAGCCACAGTAAACAGAAGAAAACCAAGTACAGCTTGGTTACCATTTTTAAAAAGTTAGTAGGTTACTAGTTTCTATTACATGTATGTAATACCACGGGCCTATGGAAGTAAGGTAAATTACATCCAAGAATTTTAAGAAAAAGAAGAAAATTCTAGTTCCAGTCAGGTTACCAAGAATCCTCTCATTTGTTTAGAAAAATCTGATCCAAGCTGCTGGGAGGACCATTTAGGACACCAATCTCATTTTTACTATTAAATGCTGCAAAACTGTACACACAGAGAAAGTAAGATTATCTTGCCACTAACATTAATTAATTCTTCTGTGTGGCAAAGCATTTGCAATCTGAACATTTCTGAACATTCCCTTTTTTAAGACGACTCCCCTCTCCAAGGGCTGTTCTATTATACAAGAAACTTACCAGTATATTGTCAAAAAGTAAGATTGACGGAAACATTATAAATCCACTAACATTCATTCTGTAGCCACAAGAGGCTAAGAAAGTAAACCTTAATTTTGAAACATACAACCTATTTTGAAAGAAATCTGATTATTCTTAAAGGGACACAGTACCAGGCAGCCTACCACTGGCAATGGAAGTTTTTTGTATAGAATATTCCCACCCCCAAATAGTAATAAAAATAATCTCTGAATTTCAGAACTGTTCAAATCCTTACGTACTTGCAAATTTTCATATTTTCTTCTGCATAGATGCTGTTTATGATTCAAAATTACACTGAAAAGGAAATTTATTTAATGTTTCCTCACTGTACCAATATTAGTCATATTTACAATTGTGAAATCTCCATAGAACATACCTAGAAAGTGTGTGGTATTTTTACCTTATCTTTATCCATGCCAGGTTCTCTGTATACTGTCCATTTCTGGGCATCATCACTGTATAAAATTCTGTAGGCTGAGACATAATAGTAGTACTCTGCTAAGGTTGATCCAGTAGTTATAATACCTGTGAAAATGAAGGTGCCTGGTTAGACAAAAAACCGGTAACAGTTTGTAAAAATTAATAGATCAGCTTTTGAATCCAGAGTTCCGGAGTTGGAATCTCCACTGGCCCAACTACATTTCAAAAAAGATTACCCAAGGTGCCAGGGTCTGAAACTTCTATAGTGACTGAAATTTCATAATCATTTTACTTACTTTTATATTTTAATTCTCCTGATAAAACCTTGCTAAGCACTTTTCCCCCATTTCTTGATGGAAACAGCCTGTCCATCTGACCACAGCCCACTCCTGTCTCCAGTTGCAGAGATCTTCCCTGCTTTTGTCCTGCCAACCTAAAAGCACTACTGGAAGAACTGTCGCTTCCTAAAGCTGCCACTTCAGCACTGCAGAACAGCTCATAGGAAAGCTGTTTTGTAAAAGCTTATTAGCACAGGAATTAGGGGAGTACTGTAAAACCCAAATAGTCCCCAGGGAGGTAATAACAAAGGCTGCTGGTAAACCCCAGTTGCTTAATGACAGGAAGCCAAGCTGCTGATAGCAGGGCGTGCAGCTGAGTTTACAGAGACCAGCTCCTCCACGTGAGAAAGAGGCAAACACAAACTGATCAAAGGAGGATGTTTCACCATAGTCTTAAAGCCTGGACCTCTATGAAGCACTCTACCTAAAGCCACTTTATTTTTAAAGTCAGATTGCAAACATGCCCATTAACAACAGTTAATCACCGCTGAACAATTAAATCAAAATAGCAAACACTACCATCAGCACAGAAGATAAAACAGCTGCACTGCCACTACTTAAGGTCACCCCCGAGGTTAACCCCAAAATGCAAATGCCTCCCTCAGTTCTTCACTACTGAGCATGGGCCACATTGCAACCCACAGGAACAGGTAACCATGAGCACAAACTCAAAAGCAAAAGCATCCAGAGCAGATTGGGAAACAGAAGCTCCAGCTGTCTCTCCAAATAAACACAGCTACTGAAATCACACTGGATGGTCCATCAGAACGTCTGTGAAGGAGCAGAGCCTAACCCAGTCTCTGGCTGCATCAGTCTGCGCTGTTTGATGCTTCTACTGAGGGAAAGTGCAACAGATTGCCAAGGGGCCCACCATCCCCCACACTCAGCACAAGTTCCATTTCAGGCAGGGAGCTGAAGGGGAGGCTGCCAGCTGGTTTACTCTGCTGCTTATCTCACATTGCAACTGCTCCTGTCTCCACTGATGGATTCACTACGGGCATGACAGGCAGTAGGGAAAACCTAGAAACCTAAGTCAGAGGTACCACTGGACTGAGCTGGCTGGATATGGATTTGCATGCAGGAAAAGGGAAGCATCAAGGATCCAACAAAACCACAGGAAACACTTCAACAAATTCTGATGGAAAAGGTGTTTTCTACTATGAAACTCCACCTGTTCAACTCCAGGCTCCTCAGTGTATTAGCTAGGGGATGGAATCAACTTTGCTGTAATGGTAATTGAATGTCACCGGACATTATCTAAGACCAAAACCAAATTTTTTGAATGCTGCTTAAAAAACTGCCTTACCTGTTACTCTCTTTTCTTTATTCAAGTCAATCTGCAACCACTGACGTTCATCACTGACAAAAGCAGCCCAAGGAGGACCAACCCTTTTGAGTCTGGCATTTTCAGGTTTCCAAATGTTCACTTGTCCTGTTTGGTCAGACCACTCAAGAATAGATGATGCCGTGATCAGGGAATCAGGGATGACCCCAGATTCCATGCCCAGTGTCCCATAGCAACCTGAGCAATAGAACAGGTGAGGATTCAAAAGGAAAATCCAAGTTGCACAATGATTGTACCTGCTTGGAATTTAAGACGTTACATGCAAATATGAAACTACCATCTAAATTTGTTCCATAACAAAACACAGTCCTCTGCTTTTAACAGTGATGCTAGAACCAAACTTGTGGTCATGAGTATTCCATGATTTATGCCTGCTCAAGGGTAATGGGGATATTCTCTCAATCACAACCCACACAGGACACCAGATGAGAAGCTTTGGGGGAGCTGTCATGGTTTAAGAGCATGTATGGTTGCTGCAGGAATGGGAAACAGACTACTTGATCATTTGTTCCTTTTTTGTGTCTATATAACTTCTTGGTTTTTAAACCTACCTCAGTATTACAATGTTAATTCAAACAATACACCAAAGCATGTAGGAAGACATGTCAGAATCCTGGCCTTGAGCTCAAACACATCCTTGAAATTAGTTGTATTTTTTGGTCACTATTCTTACTAAATGTTTCTTCCCTTGCTGCATTCTGCTGATGGCTGAAAAACATCTCCTAAACTCCTGGCTAAATTTCCTTGTGGCTAGCTAATATGCATTTGCTCTTTGCTAAAATCCTGTTCTGTAGTGCCAACAGTTTTCCCTCTCACGGGTGTATTCCCCAGACATATCAGTAGAGACCAATCTTTGCCTTTGGTCAGCCAGCCTGAACAACCCAGCCTGGCTTCCCTTTTGCCGTGTGTTCCCCCTCTCCCTGCAGACACCCCTGTAGCCCTCTTCTGCACCAAGGTCAGGCGTCATCCCTCAACGTGCGACTGGATCCCAGACAAGGCCTTGCCAATGTCCTGTGTGATGGCATTAATAGTTCGTTGTCTCCACTGGACATACTTCACCTGCTACAGCACAGGATCACATCAGCACTTCAGTAACCGAATCCTTTCCCTCATCTGTCATTTCCATCTAACAGGCAGCCAGTTTGAAGCAGAAATGCCTCAGGCTCTATCTGCTCAACCCTATACTTTTTGCTCTGTGATTCTTCAATTAATTTCTGTTACTCAAGTCTCAAAGTCAGCCAGGTCTTCCTGTGCAAATCGTTTCATCTTCCTCTGCACTAACCACACCTCTGGCATTAATAACACACTCCTCTATTTTATACCAAGTCATGAAACCAACTGTTAACGGAAGAACCACACTAGTAACTTCACCACAGTCTGATAAACCTCATTTGAGCTTACTACAGAGTCCTCTTTTTCCTTCAGCTAACTCCTTGGTCACCCAACTACATTTTAATCTAGACCTGCATCTTGTTTCTAGCCTTATTCAATAATTTCTCAAATGTGTCACTGAAATCCAGATAGTCTAGATCAGCATTTTGCCCTATCTCTTCATATTTCCAGGCCATTTAATTACTTTCATATACACTATCAGATCACATTTTAAAAGACAAAAAATGCCAACAAACCCTGCCTTGATCACTGTGTTCAATATTCGCCATGCATAAGGTCACCAGACATGCAATTCCTTCTTACAGCTCTTGCAGGGGCTGAGAGAGAAATTATCTGAATATTATATGGATTATATTTTCTAGTATTTGCTTGTTTGTATGCATTTCCATCTCCAAACACTCCTGCCCATCACCATCAGATTCCTGCCTTTATATCCCCATTCAGCATCACTTTTATTTATATATTAGGAAAAGTATTTGTTTACTTTTGAGGAGTATGTGTATGATTTCCACCTCCTTTTTCTGTTTTTAACTTTATACTTACGGAAAACAGACATAATGCTTTTGTTAGGGTTTTTTAAAATATTGTTATTAAAACAGTTAGAGAGACTAAGGAAAGGCCAACATCTTCAGAATACTTCCAACATCCATTCAAAGAGAGCATTTAAAGCTACCTACAGAAAAGCTAGCTTCCATTTAGAAAACTAAAGCTGATTTATTTGAAAAACCGGTAATTGATACAAAGTAAAAACATGCAAAACAGTAAAGCTTTAATAAGGGGCAACACTTGTTATACCAATCAGCAACCTGGTACACATTTAGAAAACAAAGCAATGCAGCCAAGAAGGAACACAACTTACAGAGCAAGGCCCAAGAGATGCTCTTCCAGAGCAAGAGACAGGTAATTTATCACACAGCATTCCCTTGCAAGAATATGGGGGGAGAAAAAAGTAAATGGGGGTGGAGAAAGTTGAGGAACCATTTTGGGATTTCTGCTAGCTTTCTTAGTGGGCAAGAAGAAAAGCATAAGCAGTAAACCTGGAAAAGACCTGGAATGCATACTGGTTACAAAATGAAGAGCAACTCTTAAGTGCCCACCTCTGCTTTAGCAGAGTGTTTAAAGTATGGGAGTCAAGTGACTTTAAAGCAGACTATAGTAGAGGAACATAAACTGAAAGAATCTCTGCACATAAGCAAGGTTTACTTTATATATCACTGTATAAATGTAGTGATAAATAATCATCAAAATTGGATAGTAAAACAATTTAAAAATATACATTCCTGAGGAATGAAGAAAAAAAGGTCTAACTAGAACAAAAATTAAGAAATACAGTACCTGCACACTTATTTCTACTCACAAAATTTGTATGAAAGTATCAACACGTAATACATGTGATAATGCTTACCGCTCGTCTTAAATGTGAAGAGACTTGTAGATAACGGTCCCCTGCAGAGAACAAAAGACTTTTTTTTGTGGTAGTCAGCGAGGAAAACTGAAACAGTCTTGAATTTATTTTTATTGTCTGACTGCTTACGACTATGCACATAAGCCTAAACGACCACTTCATGATCAAAGTAACACTTCCCATCACCAAGTTGCAGTGCTGTGAGTACAAGCACCTTTTCAACTGAAATCCAGTCCAGCGATCCTGAGTTAAAGGCTTTCAAACAAACATCTGCCCAGCAGAACACAAGACTTGATTAAAATGCTTCCCTTTTAAATTAAGCTAAACATAATAAGAAGAATCACTCTCCTCTGATTGTTTTCATTCCTGGGACTTCCGAGATAAAATGACAAGTTACACTCTTTTCCCTGCAACTATGAAGTTCCCATTAAATTATTATTTTTACACAGACCATTAGGAATTTATGGTCATGCCATGCATTTTGGAAGATAAAACCTCCTAGGAGGATTTGGAAAATGAATCTTCATGGTCTAGAGGTTAAAAATATCTGGTAAAACAATCACACTGTAGCAAAAGAGCATTGTGAGACCCTTACAGAAGAAGGGAACCTGTCCACGGAACACGTAGCTCCACTAGCTGAAATTAATCCCATGATGAGACATTCCCAAGATCTAAGGTGCTAAAGATAAGGAGAACATAGGAAGTACACTTACACTTTTGAGGTGACATTGTTAGCCAGGGAGCCTTCATAGTACGGAATGCCCTTGCTGATTACAACATTAATTTGGCCACCCAGAGTATTTGACACAACGCCTGCATGAACACCAGCCATACAAAGTGATGATGACTTGAAGAGGGGGGGGGAAAGAAAAATTAATACTATATGGTAAATAAATTAAACACTACACTGTATATTGTAAATGCTACATTGTCCAGCTATACTCTTTGTTATTATTACATTAAGATACTGGTCTTATTTAACTGTTATCTCTGTTATTTAGAAACCATTCGTCTTTGATTTCTTATGGAATTTATAAAAACATAAAAATAAGGTCCTACATTTCACTGCATCCTCGCCCAGATGTATTTGGAATGTAACTCCTGTAATTAAATAAGCTCAACCAAACAGCAAGGTGAATCAGTCTGAAAAAGCCAGACAGATTTTCAGCCTACAATAAATCTGTTATGTTAGACAACAGAAGTTGAATACATAAATACATAGGAAACCTCTTAATAGAAAGCATATTGAAAGTATGTTTATTCATTTTCTCACAATTAAGGAGTGATGCACTGCAGATTTTCTAACTGTTAGCCGATGGGTTACACTTTTTATTTTAACTATGTTTAACCATCGAGCACTCTGATCCATATAAACCCACAGTAATACATGAATACAGTTTGTTCTCAAGAAGCCGATTACCTAGATTGTATAGGTCAATGGAGACCAGTTATGCAAAAAGTTTTTGCAGGACTTCCTGTTCTTTCCTTCTCTCCCTGGACGACCATTAGCCCAGATCCACTACCAAGTCTCATGGTGACACTGCCGTTTCCCTGGCTTGCAGGCTGGCTGTGTCATACACCAAGTCCTTCAGGCACAGCACAGCATGAGCAGAGCAAGATGCCTCTGTCTCCCAACCAAAACTAGCCCAGGAGATCTTCTGCAGCTGGGAAGCAAACCCTTCCAGGTCAAAGGGGCTTGACAAAGAAACATCTTGGTGCTGAGGAGCAGAGAGACAGTCCAGTTCCAAAACAAGCTTAGCAGCAGTGGCTTTGCACCTGCCCACCAAGCGCACCAATGTTTCTGGAGGATTACTGGCTACGCGCAGTGCAACTGGCATAGCCAGAGCTATTCGTGGGTGTTCCTGCAATGTGCAGCACTGGGATACACGCAGACACGTTGCAATTCTGCAGCCACTCGCTCACATCCAATGAGACTGGGATTAACCTGAATTTTAGAAGATAGAGGGGGCCAAGGTGCCTGTGAAGGACCACCTCGGTATCTCCCAATACAGCTTCCAGAAACCATATTTAGCTTGTTATTACCAGTGTGGTATCCCAGGGTGGACTTGCCCAAGTCGATAAACAACAGATGATGACTGCAGATTTTTATTTACTGTTAACAGTTGCTCCCCCAAGTAAAGTCCATTGCTAGCCATTGCTACTAAACACATTTGCTGCACTGTTCTGCCAAGCCAGTTGCACTGGGTGCTAAAGAGCCTCACCACAATTGTTTAAGAAGGAATCATCAGGTCCTTTCCAAAGAAGGAAGACTTTGTGGCTGATTTTTTCTCACATTGACTTAAAAACAGCAACTGTCTCCACTGTGTCTTCTTTAGAAATAATTTTATGGTGCAGCAGGCCAGGATACCCCTATATCTCAAGCTCACTGGCAAAAAAACCTGCTCACCAAGACTTTTTCAAACATAATTCTCCTCAGTATATTCACACATAAAAACTCCAATCCTATTCCCCACCTCCCAGATATACCAAAAGCTTTCTAAGTTAATGTAATTACGTATCACTTGTGCACGCAGCTCAAGTGAAAGGAAGAGATGGGATTCTGCAACAGATGCAGCCCTCTCCTCCCTGCCCACCAGAAGATGTCAGCAATGAGCACTCCAAGTCCTCAAGGACTGTGGACATTAGGGTCACACACAAAAGAATCATGATTTAGGGTATTTTTTCAAGCAGCAAGCAGCTGTTGATCATTTGAAAGAGATGCATGAGAAATCTCTACCTGAAACTTCGTCTAAAGTGCTTGACAATTTGATTTCTTGCCATGCAATTTGGCTTCTGTGAAATTCTCTGCCTTTTATTCAGAGCAATAAAGTATACAAAAAGAAAGTCACAGGGAATTTATTTCCCCAGAATTTCCTTTTTCCTCCATAGAAAAGAGTTTTTCCAGATTTTGGCAAAACAACTCCCAACAAGAACAACTGCTACAGACGCTGCAAACATGTTAGGCAGAGAACCAACTTCATCCTGTTCTAGCACAAAAATTACCTTGCAGCCATTTAGTGAGGACTCACTGTGGACCAGAACATGTAACACAGTTACACTGTGGTGATATTTTTACATGTGGGTAATTATTTAAGCAGATTGCCTAGGATTTACAGATATTTGAGAAAAGAAAATCAGAGAGGTACACTTTAGGTTCATATTTAATATTAAAATCTGCACTCACTAAGGTTTTAAAATTGTCTTTCCTCTGTGCTAGAGCTAATGGCCTAGTAAAAGAGTATTTTAAGATAAACAAAAAGATTTAATGTAATTCTTGACTAGATTGTTAGCAAAATGACAATCACTTAAACAAAGCAAACACCCTCCAGTCCTATGGCAGGCATGCCAATTCAGTTACAAAAGCTTACATCTGAAAAACAGTGTATAGGGTTTTGTAGTGTTTTAAGTAAATAGTACATTATTAAAGATTTTCATTTCCACTTTACACAACTATTAGCATTACAGTATTACCTCTGTTTTGTAAATGGTTTTATAGCTGCTGAGCATAAACAGTATTTCACCTTTCATGTTGTAATAAAAAACAATCACTGAGAACCTCTCAAGAGATGTATTACAGTCTCAAAACCAAGAGGACATCATTAAAAGAACTGGTTCTCTATAAATCTGAATTTCCCAACTTGAGAAAGCCATCAAAAACAAAACAGGAAGTATAAAACAACGTATTGATTGATCCACCCTTCTCAGCAGACCTTAACAAAAATGTTTGAGTCTCTACTACACTATTTCACTTCTGTGGATGGCAACATCTGAAGCATCAGCCATTTAGGAGCTGTGCAAAAAAATGAGTACCATGATATTCACTTTAGGAAATACAAATTCCAGAACCCAGGCAGAAGAACTATTGTGAACAACTATACAGACTTCTAATTATACAGCACATGTTCTACCAAAATTCACGTGAGCCCACAGTATTTTTACTTACATCTCTGTATCCATGGGGAATAGTGCCTGAAACATCAGCAAAAGGAATCACACATCCAGCTGGACAATACTTACTGGAAAAGAACAAAATATCAAGTCAAGATATGCATGCAACTACAACTCTTATAATGTTATAAAATAGTCACTTTTTAAATTTATAATATGCTGTAATCATTCATATATCACTACGTAAGGATACGTCCAACTGAGGATGTATCAAATCAGACAAAAAATACTCAGGAAGAGAAGTACACAACAGCAGAAGAGACATTTGAAAAAGTTTAAAAAAAGTCTTAGCTGAAACAGCTGAAACTACAGTTCCAGTCTGAATATAATAAATTAATAAAGCCAGCATTTTATAACATAAATACCACATGGCTTCTGTAAACTGAATGTCATTATAAGTACCAATATTAATGAATTTCATCTTACAGAGACTTGCATATATATTTGTTTTGCATCTTTAAATAATACCTCTGAACAGTAATGCTATTTTATAATAGCTCCTGGCAATGCTTTGATCATAAAAAAATGGCCAAATTCAGTTAATACCGCTAGCTGATGGAAAGCAAGAGGCAAGACATCTGCACCACTGATGCAAGTCCGTGTTCACATTCTAATGCCATTTCATACTGCACACACACAAAACCCATTAAATCTTCAAGGTTTAACAGTGAACTGGGGCAAACTATTAACATTTTCACTGCAGTTCAACAACAGTTGAAGCAACGTTGCAGGTACCATGAAAATAGCAGTATTCGGAGACTTCAGCACACGTCGAGTAAGGCCAGAACCTACAACTAGAGCCCTATTTTGGAACTTGGGAAAATGAAAGAGAAATTCAAAGGTTGCACTTTGAAACGTTTCATGATGCCACAGCTTAAGTTCTCCGAAAAGGGAGTTTATATACTTCACAGCAGTCCACAACTTTAAACTCCATCCTTGCTTTAGATGGAAACGGAGAAGGAAAAACCAGTGAAATGACCTACGTTTCCTCCATCAGAAGGAACAGCATTTTATGTCTCTACAGAACCTCATTAATTCGCACCAAACCGTGAAATGGGTTTGTGATTTTTAACCCATTTCACAGTTTAGTGCTCCTTTGATACCTGTAATCTGAATGCCATTATTTAAGGTGTATACCTGCTGTAATATGTGTTTACAAAAGCAATATTCTTTTTAAGGGAATAAGATATTAGCTCCTACATGTTAGTGCAAATTAACGAGGTTCTACTGTATACTGCATGTAAATAACAAAAAATGGGGGAGGGGGGGGAGAGAGAGGAGGAATGCAAATATCAAAATTATTCAGCTCTAAGCCTAATCACTTTGTTTCTTAAGTTCTCTGGCCAGCCAATTGTCAAGCTGCATCAGGTTTAAGTAACAGAGGAGAGAAGAAACACTAAAATGACTTTAAGGAGATTGGGGGGAAACAGGTAAAATCAGTCTTACTTGAATTCTGGTTCGGAAAAGTGACTTGCATTGTCTAAACAGGTAATTAGGTCTGGAAAGAAAAAATGTTAGGTCAAGAGGATGATAAAGACAACAAGCTTGAGTATGCTTTTTAAAGTGCACAAAAATATACATTTGAGCATCTGTGGCTTAACTGAAAGTGTCAGAATGAAAAAAACCATGTTCCTACTAAATTATCTTGCAACAGATTTTGTATTACGGTAGAACCTTGATAATTTGTCTGAGTAACTGGAAATCCACTGAGAATGTGACATAGATGAGAAACACTACAAACATTCATTTTCCATGCAGCTTAATTTTGATATATAGCTGTACTTCAGAGAACTTGACATAATTCAGACATACAAACATATGCTCTTTGCATAAAATTAAATTAATAAGCTAGCTAAACAGGCCTGGGTTTTCAGCATTTAACTGTCCTACAGTACTGAAACCAGGCAGCATAGGGAACAAACATTAGAGTGCCATGCTACTGGCATCCATGATTGACAGCTCAAATTTCATGTTTCTGTCTGCTGCATATTGGCACATATAGTCCAAAACACAGAGACAAAAGCATCAGAAAACCAACAAAATAAAAATTAAAATAAAAAACTCTTTATCTGTTCTTTTTAGAATTACTTCTAGACACAGTTTTCTCAAGCCTTCTGTCTTGTAAAGCAGTTGCTGGCAATCCTCCTTTTCCTTGCAGACCATGTATGTCACTCACTGTTACAATAAGTGGAAGAATAACCAAAAACATGGAAAAAACAAGAAATGGCAAAAAGATGAAAAAGTAGTCAGCAGATTATATAATTGAAGAGTTGAGGGAGCATAGGAAACTGTTACTGAAATAAAATTTTCCACAAGGTTGGTCTGTAAAAATATACTGTTGGATAAGAAAAAAATTTAGTTATCTGCCATCTTGATTACTATCTGAAAAAATGCATTTCATCCTTTATCCAAAGCAGCTCTTTCATTCATAACAAGTAACTGTGATTCATGCTCTGTTATCCAGGGTAAGCTTTAACAACATTTCTTTAAAACTACAGTAACTGAAATAGTAACTGAACAGCCTGATTTCCTTAGCAGAAGCATCAAGAAGACTATACTAAAAGTCTTCATTTTTAGAAGTTAATTTGTGAGAATGCAGGAATAAATAAATTACTTCTGTGTTTTAACTAGACAGTTCTAATTTTACCAGCACAGAAAAATTACCAAATTATTATAAATACCTGATTTGTCAGTGGTTGAATAAGCTGCAAGAAATCCACGTCCAGAAGTGTGTGTTCCACTCATGAACTGTACTGTGACTTCATTACTTTTTGAAGTAATTAAACCATCCATTTGAAAGCCAAACCCGCAGTATTTTCCTATGGAGAGAAGGGGGAGAAAAGACATGGACCAAAACCAACATATGTAATACACATCTTTTTTCATCTGCAGTGTAAACTCGCATTCCTTCTGGCATATATTCAAAAGTAAATACATGTGCGTGACACTAAATAATGTAGTCAGTGTCCATTTAAAGCAAATGGCAGAGTATGGGTATCACATTTATTTCGTCACTGTCAACAGGTGAGAGTCTCTCATACCCTTAACACTTGCAAATAAATGTGACCTTCACCTCTAGCCACGCATAAGCCTCATAGTCAGTTCTTCAAAGACCATGAGAAATCTATTAAAGAAAAGGATCAAGTTAGGGCAACAAGAATCACTGAATGGTTTGGGTTGGCAGGGACCTCAAAGATCACCTAGTTCCAACCCCCTTGGCACGGGCAGGGACACCCTCCACTAGACCACGTTGCCCAAAGCCCCATCCAACCTGGCCTTGAACACTTCCAGGGCGGGTGCAGCCACAGCTACTCCGGGCAACCTGTTCCAGTGCCTCACCACCCTCACAGCAAAGAATTTCTTCCTAATATCTAAATCTACCCTCTTTCAGCTTAAAGAAGCAAATGAGAAAAAAAGGCCTTGCCTTGCCTTCCCTTCCCTCTGCTTTCGGGGCATCTCTTCCTTATCAACTATTTCATGGTTTCTATCAACTACTTTTCTTAATTTTGGACAACAGCAGGTCTAATTCACTGCACTTCAGCATTAATGTGCAAGCATATGTGAGCATCATTAACACAAACTGCCAGTTAGTTCACTTTCTGTTTTGCTGCACCTATAAAACCTAACAGAGGTTCTGCACCTGAATACTTCTCTTGTCATCCAGAATGACCAAAAATAATACATTTTTAACTGAGATGCTGGAATCTGCAGATACTGACAACATTTGCCCTATGAAGTCCTACAATTACCATCAAGTGAACTGTACTCTCAAATAGTACTAAAATAAAAAAAATTAAAAATACAAATTTCTGTCATTATTCAGAGCTTTCTAAATGTGGCTTATTTGGATTTTTTTTTGAACAAAGCAAGGGTATTTTCTAGTGAAAAAACAGAAAATAGATTTTACAATGCTTTAATGAAATTTATAATATTATAAATATAACCTTATCTCAATTCACTACTTAAACTGGCTATCAGCAAGAGTTGCAAAGAAATAAGTTCCCTTTGAACAAGGCTCCACATTGACCCTATGTTTTGCTCTAAGTCATGTTTCAATGATTAATTGCATTCATTACGATGAACTGCATCATTTTCCCAATTACCATTTTTCTTTTCCTTTTTTTTTAAGTTTTGTTTTCAGCCAGTAGATCTTGTTACACGACTGACTAGTACAAAAGCACTTGGGGTCCTTCAATGCTTGGGTACAGACAAAACAGTAATATTACATCTTCTGCACATACCATTGACAGAGGCATCACAGCAGTCATGTTTTGTCCATTTCTAGTGCCTACGTTTCAAAAAAGTTGCTAGAAATCTGGCGAGAGCCCAGGGAAGAGTTAGAAAAATGATTTATAGTCTCAAAAGTATGTCTTGCCATGAATCATAAGGTGCATCAGTCTGCAGTTTGTCAAAGGCTGTATGTCCATGGTGCAAGCAGCACTGCATAGTTTATCCAAGCTAGATTTAAATGTCTTGCCCTGTGTATTTGCCAAGAGAAGAGGATAAATGGTGTCCTGAGGACAGTCTGACCTACCCTGAGAGGAGTCTTATGCTGATCATACAGCAGGGGAGGAAGGGAAGTCCCATGGTAGCTTACGTTATCTGCTTCTATAGATCTGTGCTTACATCGTATGTATTCAATAAGTACACCTGACTGTAGACACGGAGTGACTGGACTGTGATACAGAACACCTCTACATCTTACTTAAACTAGAGACAAACTTAATGCCAAAGATTTAAATCTTCTTTTGATTTATTGATAAATACTCAAAAGGCTTGGAACGAGAACTAGCCCTTAAAAGCTTCATTAGAAATCTCTGGTTCTCAATGAACTAACCCACTAACAATTCATTTTTTCATCTAATCAGCCAATTTTTAAGTCATTTTGGGTTAAAGGAGGTATAACTGAAATTCAGATTTTATGTAATACAAGTATTTTAACGTTAGACAATGTCAGTATTCTTGAATGGAAAAACAGCAAAAATACAAATTTCTTCCAAACAAGTTAAGGTCACTGTTTAATCTCTCCAGTGTTTGTTGCTTAAAACATGAACATTCAAGAATCTGCATCATCTGTATCTGCCACTATTTCTGTGGCAGAAATCACTGTTTTTTCTGTGATTTAATTTATTAAGAGCAGAACAAAACACACATTTGCTCAACATACTGTGCTACTACACCAGCTGGGAACAGCTGAAAGTCAAGAGAAACAAATGAAGTAGAAAATTTATTCAAACCCATTAAGTCACTTGTAAAAGTGAATAATAGACTTATCAGAACTGGACGTTCCTTGCCATTTAAGGACTTCAGCGTTCCCTATTTTAGACTAAGTCTGGCTCAACGGCTCTAAGCACATACTTATTTTCACACACACTTACCTAGGTAACAGTTGGAAAAGAGGGTTAACAAAGCTAACACTCCACTAGCCTCTTTATAAAAAGACTCAAGTTAGTGGGATCGGCATTTGAGTTGCACAAAAACAATCTTGGTGAAGTAAATATCTCTCTCTCTCCAGATTAAAGCTTTAAGAAAGAAAATAAAATTAATCTGCAAAATAACAACTAATTTTAGTGAAGGATCAATGACAATTTATTTTGAGTTTTATGTAAAGTAACCACAGGGTCTTAAAACTCTAAATATACCTTGACATAGATGATGTCACACTGCTATTTGAAAAAACAAACAAACAAACAAAAACAACTAACCTGCCTTATAGTCATGAAATTCAATTTGTCCTCTGAAAGAGGACAAAAATTAACTATGGATATTATCAGAAAACGAGGAATATTGGAACTACACAACTATTGAAGCCTGGCATCCTTTAAAACCACCAATATGGAACAGCTCAAATCAGAGCTATTCCATATAAAAAAAAAAAAAAAGGCATTTCAGCTAAGATACAGATACTACTTTTTTTACTTTTTTTTTTTTTTTTTAAATGAAAATCCTCATAGTTTTGCAATTCCCTCTCCACTGCTTACAAGAACTTTGCTAGCTACTGGGAAATATCTGAGAAAAAACCTACAAACTTTACAGTGGAGTTTCCTTTGAGAATCTGAAGAATCGAAGATTATTATAGGATCTGTGCTGCATTTAACATCTAATCATTGTATGCACAAACAAAATGTAGGATGTTCTGCCATCATTATTATCCATAATTTTTTCAGTACATTTTTAGGATATAGGAATTGTGTCAAAAAGACAGACATTTACATACACATTAATAACAGTAAACAAAATACAATTACTTAAGAGTAATTACATTAAGAATACTCTGGCATTCCAAAACAAAGAACTCATCTGCTGAACAACAATGCCAAGCATACTTCAAACGAGCACGTCACCAGAGAAAGGGACAATCAGACTACTGTTGAGGTATACACAGCACTCCTCAAAGTTCTGCAGGGTTTCCTCGATATAACTCTCAGAAAAAACACAACTCTCATTAAAGAATTACTAAAATTCCTTTCTTTACCTTATTTGAGATTTCTGTACCTAATAAACACTTCCTCCTTTTCATCACTTCTCATAAGGCTCAAAATCCACACTGTACAAAGCAGTGTATGATGTATTCAGGAAAGGTCTTATCCTGCCCAATATCCAACTGAATTACAACAGTCTTCTATGGCTATAAAAAAGAACTTAACTAATACCATACACCTAGCAGTTACTCTATGCTCAGAGCAGGTAAACAAGGAGAAATTTAAAAGGTAACAAACATACTGACAGTATCTTCCAAGTTGTATATAAGACAATAGCTTTCAAGTACCAATAATAAAATCTCCTACCTATCTCTGTCCTGGTGGGGCCAATCCCATTGTGAACTCTTAAGTAACTGGAATGACAGGAATCTGAGTCATCAATATCAAAATCGCCAAATTTGAGCTGAACTCGCTGCCCAGGCTTTACACGAATTTCCCATTCACAGACCGTGCTATTGGGAGAGGTCTGTGGGTAGTTTATCGAAGCAAGAGTTCCACTTTCAGGGCCCAGAACGGTGTGCCCACATCCATCACCTACAAAAGAACAAAAATAAATCAGACACGTGCATTCATCTTCAAAGCTTCACTGGTGTGTTAGTCATCCTGGGTTTTAGCACTGGTGACTTCTGCTGGGTTTTTAACCGTACTAATCATGTTGCAACAAAACTCCAAGGTAAGTCACATGTCGCTGAAACAGCAATTGTGAGAAAATACCATTCAACCAACGTTGCCTAATGTTTAAATTCTCATCACAGGTGACCAGAGAGCTGCTACAATTTCCTCAACAAGCTAAAAATTCATCCATAATGACTTAAAAGATTGCACAGACAGTACAGAAAGTGTCCCTGCTATTTCATGTTCCCTCAACACCTATGTACAAAAGAAAACAGGTTTTGAAAAGGAAGGAGAAACCCACCAATAAAACAGAAACACATGAGTTTTACTGTTGTTACTGTATTCACAACACGACCAGAAAGAACAGAAGTGGAAAGACAACAGACAGCAAATACTCTACTGAAAATAACTGCCAGGTCTGACCATCATCAAACTGCTAGTGCATCATTTTGTACCGTATCACAATTTTAATGCTGTAATTAATTCTTCCAGGTCCTCAGAGAACATGCTCAATTCTTCTGGATTTCTACAACAAATTCAATTGTAACTCCAACCTGGGGCCCTCTAGCTAACATTTGAGTATTAATTTTAAACAGCAGTAACAACACTAAAGACAACTTGTTAACAAATGGAAAAAATAACACAATCTGTGTATTCTAAAAATCGAATTACAAAGAACACAGTGAAAAAATCTATTTACTCATAGCTAGACATGAATTTCCCCCCAGTACATAGTACAATAAGTATAAGAATTTGTCTGTTGTTTTGGAAATAAGAATGTTCTTTATGTAATACCCACTATCACTGGCTCTTTATAAATTACTGTATCAAGATGAAACAAAGCATTCCTGAGCACGAGGACACATCCGGAACAATTAACACCTGCAACAACATAAGCCCCACGAAACAAGCCTCACAACATCTCTGATTTATTTGTGTTAGCGCTGGAGGCTAAAAAGCCTATTTATTGAATTTAGTCCCATGAAATGAGTAGGCCAGGAACAGCATTTAATTTTCACGATTTGACACCAGAAGGTCCAGAGATCTTCTGAAAGAGATCTGCAATCATGACCTTTCAGGATCTTGAACAAAGTAATGTAAGTAAAAATAGCAAAGACGAAAATCAGATTAGATATGCTGCTTAAAAAATATCTTTGACACCACTCCAAATACATTTATTATCTGTAGGTCCATTTTACCCTGCAAAATTCATGCCTGTGCATACAGTTCCTACCAAGTGCTTACAACAGATTTAACATTATGTCAAGATTTCACACTCCAGAAATTCACAACGATCAACATCATTTGTATTGACAGACGTTTGTTTTGACAGCTAAAATCGATAGTCTGGAAGTGTTTCATATCATACACTAATATGTGTAGTTCTTCTACTAAACATGAAAAGGTAAGCTAAGCTTTAGGGACAAAAATTGTACGCATATTTAAAAATGTTAACTAAATTTCAGAATTCTTAAATGTATTTCACGCAAGACTGAATGGAAAAGTAAGTAAAATGCACTGAAGTGACATGGGTAAAATAAACTGTGGTACTTAACTAGGTCTGACCAGTCTGTTTGCAAAAGCACTTAAATTCTATTTTCTTTATAATCTGAGCACATTGAAAGACAGCTGCACGTTCTAAACGCTAAAATGCTGCTGGTATATACAGAATCACAAACAGATGCAAACTGCAGCTTTTTTTCCTTGCTAACGGTCTTGAATCAAAATGATGCATCTTCTTTGGAAAAGGTAACTGGAATATCTGCTTCAGTAAAATCAAAAGTTCATTTGTAAAGCTGCTGTTTAGCCATGTTTTTCTTCATCCAATTTTAGCAATTCGCTTTAAAAGACTTTGTTCCATCCCATGACAAATACATTTCCATTGGGATGACGGCCGATGTATTACCTTCCTAAATTACTGTTGTTCCAATACATGAGACACAATTGTCCAATGTTACAAAGAGGAACCTTAAACCATACATTTTGTGTATCATTTTAATCCTTGTTTCTTTCCAAAGGCATGTTACAAACCTAAGTGAAAGATTTATCATTCCAAACCTGTATGGCCTTGTACACCTTTAAATGTCAGATTCCTTATTAGTCACAATATGCTTAACACTCAAGAAAAATACTGACTCCTTTGCTAGGAAACCAGCTTTTCGCAAACAAGTACTCACACACATTACAAAACACATGGAACTTATTATATTAACAACAATAAAACCAACAAATATATACTAGGTCTTCATTCATGGTGATAATTGTGGCTAGTATTTCAAAACTCTTTATACTGCAGACATATAAAATTAATTTTCAACAAAAGCTGCAGTTGGGTTTAGGTTATGTCCTAAATAAAAACAATGAGCCAGTTAACCAGTTCTGTGCTTTTCCTATCCTGTGACAACTGTTTACTCATTTACAGATTGAAAATATTATGCAGATACACTAATGCAGTGGCCTTTTTGAACGTGAAATCATAGCAGCTTTCACCTGTCTGGGCAGATACATTGTTCTGAGTGCATTTTAAGGAAAATAAAAATGCTTGCACGATCTAGATTACTCGATAGTTAATTATTTCTGATTTCAGGGGGCCTCTTATTGCAAATGCAGTAACCACACATGCTATTTCTTGCAACCAGGAATAATATCAATAATGCACATGATTACCTATCTGAACCCCCCCCCATACTTTCACATCTGAAGCCTATGCTGCTGGAAGTCAAAGACCAAGGAGAGCTTGGGTCTCTTCTTTGACCCAAAATACACTTAAACTGTAAATTTCTACAGTTAAAAGCAGAAAAGATCATGCCTAACACTCATTTAAACCATCCTCTTCACTAGTTTGTTATGTTACGGTAACACGTTAAACCTTTCTGGACTCAGCATAACCTTAATTTAGCTGTCTCGAGCATGAAACAACACCAGCACTGCGTTAGTATGATGAACAGGGCCCACCTTTCTGATCAGAAAAGCAAAAAACCTCCAAAAACACTTTCACACGTTTAAGCGATAAAATGCAAATAAAATATCATAGGTTTTAAGAAAAACATTGAGACTTTTCTTTTAAAGACACATCACTAAGAAATGTCAAATTTCCCCTTGTAGCTTGGAACAATCAGTCTTGTTTCCAGTGGCTAGATAGAAAAACTTTCTAATCTGTCTCACACAATTTAATGGAAATCAAATCTCCCTTTTGTTGCAGAATTTCTTGAAAACATGCGAGGAAAAACACTCCTCTAATCTATCCACATTCAAGAACTTGCGTCAAATCATTCTAGAAAGGAATGGAAAAGAAAAAAAAAAAAAAAGTTGTGCTGAACTTCATCTACAGCATCATCCTACCATAAAGCCAATTTTTAAAAGCAGCTCATTCTGACTGGACATTTTAGATGGCATTTTGTTCTGTGTTTCGCTTAGGTTAGTGATAGCAGCAGTGCCAGACACTTCATGTCTGAATAATTAATGATTACCACTGCATGTCTGGCCTGCAATATACAGTCTGTCAAGGGCAGTAGCATCATTCAGGAGCTATTTGGAAATTTCTTAAAAAAAAAAAAAAAAAAAATCGCGCTTCCAGTGAAACTTGCAGAACAATGAAACCTCATTTTATTTCATTGGTACTAGAAAAGGGTAGTTCTTAAGCCTCTCTGTGTAAGCGGTGCTTCATCATTTCTGCCAAAGTCATATAAATACCACCACCTATCAACCCCAGAGACACATATACACATCCCTTATGAGGAGTGCAATCTGCAATACTCAGCAATTTCTCCAAGAAAAAGAGGAAGTACAGTTCTTTGCACTACAGCCACAGGTATAGGAGCATTAGCTACTTCATTCATTTGCCAATCACTAATTAAGTGCCACAGAATCTTTTGCTTCTGTTAATCTGCATGCATGAGAGTGGAGTACCTGAGAACAAATAGAAGAGACAGATGTCAATTCCTAAATCAGTTATTCCTGAATGGGCTGACCACTTCTGTCGTCAGTACACAGCTGAACGAGTCTCTTGCTTTCTTTCAGCCCTCTCTGTCACACAACAGGCCTACTACTCTTTGCAGAAGCACCAGATGACTGGCATGTACACTTTACAACTGACATTTGCTGGGAAGTCTGTAGGTGTGCATTGAATTTCATGTGTCCTGGGGACCATGTTCACGGCAAACATGAATAAGCCTAGCTCTTCACCAACACGTGTTAGAAACACGGCGCCTCTTACGAAGCCAGTAAAGCAGACTGCTGTTGTCAGGAGAACCATTCATCTCTTCTGCAGGCGCCTTCGAATGCAGTCTAGATGAATTATCCTGACGGATTACATATGAGCCCCAGGCTATGGCACATTGATGTCTCATGCAATCATGCAGATGATTTAAAACAATTTCTCATACCCAAGTTCTTTACATTGAAGACCTTGAACCAACACAAACATACCAAAATGCACCGGATAAGAAAGAAATGTGAAATTTAATAAAATGAGAGGATACTGCACATGCAGGAGTGGGTGCTAAGTACTCTATTAATACCCACGAAAGAGATTAATTATTCTTTATAGTTGTTGAAGTCAATTAATCAGAACTTATTCCCCCTGAGACTGGCTGCTGTTAGTGACTGCTAATCTTGTTCTCACTACCAAAACATGTTAAAAATTCATCTTTAAGACGAGAGAACGCTTTTGCATTCCTTACTTGGAGAAGAGAGAATGACAAAATAAAGACATCAGACAGTTTAAGATTACAGTCTATAAGGCATAACTGATGCATATCAAAACACTGATCTCAATTTTAACACATGGCACTGTCTTTTGAACAGACTCAATTTAACCAGTGGGTTTCCTGAGAAGTTTTACATACATAAGCTATGATTTTCTGTAAGTTTGTGACTACCTACAGGATGTCATTAAATCTTTCTTAACTAAGCAATGG